TTGATTGTCATTTGGTAAATGTTGTCGTGGTCGCTTTTTGAAACAAAACGTTCATTCCAAGTGAAGTGGTTGATGATGTTGCTGTGAAGCGTGCGCATGCGCAAATGAGCGTCTGAGGGTTTGCGCACAAACACATAAAAATCACATATTAATGCATTTCGGTCTCCTCTTGAGTTTTTTTGCGCGTTCGGGCGGCTACATCTCCGCCTTTTTGGCCGTTGGAATCGCTGATGATGGCAGTGTCGGTGTCGATGCCGGTGATTTCGTTAATGATTTTGATGTTTTGATGGTGACAATGATGATGTTGCTGGCATTGATCGTGTGAGGTTTAGGGCATTTCCAGCGGGCATTTGTAAATAAAGCTGCGACTGGGCATCGGTTTATGCCCGCATAAATGTCAAAATGTTGGTGTTGTAAGCACTCGACGGACTGCAGGGTTGTGGGCAGACATATGTACATACATATCTGGATGTATGTATTTACATACATATGCAGATACAAAAATATAATTATGTTCAATATACTATATAGTGGTTGTATTTTTTCCTTCTTATTATGCGGTTTCCAAATGATTTTTAGTCGCATTCGAAAAAAAAATCCGTGTGTCTGTAATTACAATGTTTTGTAGGATGCAAAAGTATTAAGATCCGACATATATTTACCGATTTGAAAAAATTTTTCTCTGGTAGCTAATTTTATTTTCAGTCAATTTGCACGGTTGATTCAAAATGATCTAGCCTCATTTCAGCGAAATTTGAGAAGTCAAGGAAAATGTTTCGTTATGTTTCAAGCTCACCTTCTTCTAGGTGGCTTTGATATTTGACGTCCATCAAAAAATGGTATAAATTCAATACCCTATCGTCTGCGATGCCCGATAAAGTAACACCACAAGTTCAGTCATAATGGAGATAAACCTCTTTGAGCTGTTTGTCAAAAAACATGTTTTCAGACAAATTGGCTGCCTTAATCTATACAAATTACTCAAGCAACAGAATTCGACCGCCGGTGAAGAATTTTTTCTAAATCACTGGGATATCGTTGATTTAAACCATTATTTGTTCCATATTCTCTAGTTTATTTAAGAAAATAGTCTGTCAGTAAACAATGATAAAAACAAATTTGACCGCCATATCAATTAAAATCATCGCATATCACTTTTTGCCGACATAGTCGCTGTTTTACAGTTATAACTTTAAATTTTTTATAGAAGCCTTGAAAATCAACATCAAGTATGAAGTTCTATTTTGGATCGAATGGACAATTCAAAAGTTCTTCTCACCATCTCTTTGGAGGCTCGTCTAGATATTCGAAAAACTTTTTTAGTATAATATATAAACTGTATGAGTTCATCTACATATTGCAGCGTCTGACTCAATAGGACAAGTGGATAGTTAGCATTTAACCATTACCGTTACGAATCGGTTTTTAAAAAAGAAACGGAACATCAAACAGCTGGGTAACTTCATTCAAAAATTAGGCACGTGCCATGATAGCTAATAAATCCATTGAACTTATAAATGCACAATGATAGCCATTTTATTGTTATTAAAACTATTATTTCAATATTAAAGTAAAAAAAAATATTAAAGTAAAAAAAATTTATTTTCCATTACGAAAATGCTTTGAAATCAATTCACACGCCAGTGGAATTATACGTGTACTTATTTACATACATAAGTACATATATTGCTGTGTATGTATATTCGATCTTGCACCAAAGAAAATACATGCATACATACGTGTGCTCAATTTCATGTGCGCTTTGCAAAATCCTGAACTCTATTGTTTCCCCCAGCTCAGCCCTTTACTATCAAGCACTCAATAGTTTCAAACATATGCTTATATGCAGACTTGTACATACATACATACCATACATATATTTGTATGCATTTGGCAGTGTGTGCACCCTCAAATTCGCAAATAATGCCTGTGTTTGGGTCCTCCTGTCATTTTAGTTGCATATCTGTAAACTTAAATCTGCACATTTTAGACACTTCATTAAACCCGTAGATGGCAATCTATTCCGGTAACCGCAATAACTTTTTTTCAATAATTAAAAAATTTAATATGATAAAATAGAAAAAAAAAATTGGATCTTTACCTTATAATGCGAAACAATAGACTCAAACAGTGTGAATACGTTTTGCAATGCATTAATTTAAAAATGTTTGGTTTTTTATTGTTTTATGGGGTACGCATTTATGTACATACATACAATATATTTTAATTTTGGTTAAATCTGGTTATAAAGTAAGACATGAACTGATTTCATTGAATGGTAATGAGGGAAAGGTATCTCTAAAAAATACGGCTCTAAAAAAACTTCTCTAGGGGTTTCTATAAAAAAGAGTATCTCTGTGAGATGGCTGTAAACAAAATATATCTAAGCGGCATCTCTAAGAATATGTTCCATCTAAGAAATGTACCTAAGGTAAAGGACATTCTAAGTACGGCCTCTAAGTTAGGCTGTTTGTGAAATGTGTCTCTTACTGGAAGTAAGTGTATCAATAATAAAAGACATGGACAATTTAATGTTTGATATCAGATTCCATTTCGCTAGACGTAACACAATTAACTAGATTTGTTAAGATTTTCCATATATTGACTGATTTTGCCAAACTTTGGAATTGCTCTGAAGGAAAAACCGGAGTTCCTATAAAATTTATACATATACATACATAAATTATCAGCGTGATGAGCTGAGTCTATTTAGCCATGTCCTTCTGTCTGTCTGTCTGTATATACAACGGTATAATCTTCGAACAGATCGGATCACTATAGCTGCCATACAAACTGACTGATCTTGCCAATTTCAATTCTTCCTGTTACTCCTCTCTGAAACAGAGGATCTCTACAAGGCTCTGCCATTACACACGATTGAGAGCTGTGGTCTTTGCGCCGTCCCAGAAGATTTTGCATCGGCTAGTTCGCATAGTACCGAACTTACGGATTCTAGTCAAGTGACATCCTCGTAATAGTGTCTGCAGTCTTGCTTAGAGTATAGCCTAAGCATATATATATTACCTTTCCAACGTAATTTTCTGCGCTTAATTTGCTTTAGTGCGAATTATTGTTTCGTTAAACTCCATAGCTCTTGATTGCTTATCGCTCTAGGTCAAAAAATTCTGCAGATGATTCGTAGACACTTGTTGACTAATGCTCGAAGTCTCTGGCTGATAGAGTGCGAGACTAGCCATGTTGCGCTTCCATACAAACTGCGTCAATTTCATGCATATGGAGAATATTCTGAGCTTAGTGCGTAGTGGAGATCCGTACTGATCGCAGCCATCCAATCGCCGTTTTTACCTTGCTCATCCTACAGTTGGCTTCCGCGTTTACTTCTCCATCAGTTGTTATCGTGCTCCAGAGGTAGCAGAAACTGACAACGAACTCGGTTTCATGATTGTCAGTCTTTATCTGGTTTCTACTGGAGTGATTGACTCTCATGGCCCGTGCCTTTGCGATATTTGTCTCTAGTCCTAGAGGCTGTTTCGGACTCTAAGCAACAAACAACTTTTTAAAAACTCCAACCATACACAAATGTTTTTCCAAAAAAAGTTAAAGTAGAATACTTTTGCGCTTTGATTGTTTCATTTCCAACATGTCTATATATGTTCAAAAATATAATTTATAAATAATAAAGTTTAAAAATGTAAGTAACGTTGATTTCGATAGAGAAATGTAACGACACACCATAATCGATTACTTTTAATCAAGACACAAACCACCTTTCAATCATAAGTCGATAGATGACGCTCACAAACTGCAAGAAAATGTCAACAAAGACCGTATATTTGCAGCAAGGTTAAAGCAGAGAATATACGTTCTCTGTTTACACGCTCTTTCAATTTTCACGTTTTATCAGAGAACGTAAATGAATAATTCATTTAACATACATATAAACATATATTCCTGATATATTTTAATTATATCAGGAAGTAAGATATGCTATTTAAGTAATTGAATTGAGATATGCTAATTAATTTCAATTAATAAAACAAAAAATTAAATAAAATTTTAATTTTATGTATTTTACGATTCGAACGTATACGCTCGTATTCGGATTGAGCTTAACTCCTTCACGCCTACGACCTCAGCCACCACAAACGTGGAAACGCAGCCGCTTAGTCACCGTTTTATTGTTATCCTTTGCTCAATAAGCAATTACTCACGCAACGCACATACATAACTTGGAATAATTGCCTATTAAATGTTTATTTTATTATGAATTCTGGGGTTTTTACCGGTAATACAGTTTTTTAATTCAGAAGGCTTTTCTTAATTATAAATTTGTCATATCATAGAAATTGAAAACATAATTCAAAATAGGTATGCGCAACAATTTTTCATTTAGTAATATTCGTTGTGTCTATTTATAGCATTTCGCACATTGCGTGGTGTATTTTTCTTTTTCGAAGTTATATTTTTCGATGTTCCCTCATCTGGAATTACAAATTAGTACTCAAAAAGATTTCATTTAACATTTGCTCCTTCTCTATTCATTTACGTTCTCTGCTAAAATGTAAACTATTAAAAGGGAACATCGAAAATGCGCAAATTCGAAAGTTCAATTACACCACGTCAAAATGGTACCTTCCCTCATGATAATCGAATTCAACAAACTACACCACTCTAAGCAGGAACCAAGTAAATTTTCACCACCTTATAAAGGAACGAAAGATTGGGAAACCCAACAGATATACGATCGATGATTTGTAGAATTTACCGCACACTAAGAAAATATGGATAGATAAACAGTAACACAGTTGATAATTACTACTTAGTCACTTGTAATGTTCAATCACTACTTTGCAACACCAAACTTCCGAAAGTATTCAACTATACGACATCTTCAGGCGATTTCTGAAGCAAATTTTTAGGAAATGATAAAGTCATATCGTCTCTAAATTATCGGTTCAGTAATTCAACGTGGATCGGCTTCATTCAAAATTGCCCCACTAACATCTCTGTAGGATAAATCAAGTAATCACACAAGTAAATAATTGATTCCAGATTCATGCAATTCTTTATTGTTTCCAAGAAAATTTGTATCGAACATTAAACGCTTTTTTTGAAGCCAGTTTTTTATTTAGTTTTATTATTTTATTTTTATTAATTCAGGTCAATTCGATAAACTCTTTGACTTAGGCTAAGATGCAATTAAAAGCTAAAATTAGTCGGCAAAATCTCATGAGATGAGATGCAAAGTTATATTATATATTTATATATATTTTACTCCATTCTTTGACTGGATTTCGTACATACTTTTGTACATATGTACCTACATATATTGACTTTGTGACATTTCATTCCGATTATAATATGTAATGTTTGTGATTCAGTACTCGCTTGTGTGCAGTCGTCTCAATCAGCGACGCTTGTGCTATTTCATATTGCATTTTGGTTAACATTTGAGGTTAGTTCATGTGTCTACATACATACTTAGGTATGTGTTTAATATTTTTTTTTAATTAAATGGCAACTTTGGACTAAATGCTTTTTGTTATCTTCAGTAATTCTATTGCTTTCTGTTTGCATATTTCTTAGAAACAGTACTGGTGGAGAAAATTAAACTATTTTTTGTGTTGTTTAAGAGTTTAGTGGGACTAGTTACCCTTTGTTAACTTATGGGTTTTTATAGAGATTTCTATAGGGCTTAAATTATATGTAGAACTTCCTGTAGTAGTTCCCAGAGTTGTAGATTTGTTTTAATTAATAACTTTTTTTGTAAACAGTTTCTTAAAAATGGAATTTCTACTAGATAACAGTAAAATATTTAATACACTAGATGTAGTAGTTTTGAATTATTTAATTTTCTTCCGTTGTCTTCGCAAACTAGTAACTACAAACTTATAAGCTTTTATGTGCTAGTTTGTGTTCAACAAGTTGACTATAATTCGAGAACATCGGATATTTTTTAAAAATAAAGTTTTCATCCAACAATTAAGGTACAGAGAAGCGCTAGTATACATATATAGTATATTATTAATTTTAATAAAATATGTAAATATGTATTTCTTTGAATATTTTTTTCTTTTCTTTCATAAATATTTTATTGTTTCAACCAATTTGACTACTACTTATTATTTAAATTCAACGGTACTTCACTTTCAACATTGTTTTTTTTTTTTCAAATAGTACAATGGACTTTGTGGTTATTGGCTTTGATAAGTTTGCGTTTGTAATTTTCTAATTACACTCATGCAGCACTATGAACTAATTGCATTTTTATGACTACGTATGTATGTAATTATTATTGTTTATGCTTTATTTTATTATAATATAATCCCCAGTCACAAATCTTGGAGGCGGGCAGGCCTCCGCCAAGTGGCTCACTCATGTTGTGCAAGTGTGACTTAATTACTCCGCACGGCAAAGCAACGAAGCAAATCGGAAGAGTCTCATCCAACTGAAAAGTTTTGACTCGACGAAGTTCTCCTCCGCCTCGGAAGTGGTCATGCTGACTCGTGAAGAGCTCGACGATTTGCTTGCGCGTTTGTGTTGCTTAACGGCTGGTGAACCCATCTTCATCGATTTGCTGTGTGCGCGTTGCTTTGTTTAAGTTCGCTCGAGAGGATCTGAAAGTATGAAGAAAAAAAGTTTCAGTTAAAATTGAGAACACTATTGACAATAAAGAGAGGGATTTTGAAAAAGCAGCCTTTAAAGAACTAAAATGTGCTTCTGATCCGTCAAGTCTAAACTGCATTAATAGACCAATGTAGATTCAATTCCCAAAATAGCCGGTTCTGCGTTACCGGAATTTACCCGAATTTTATTCGGCCAAGGACTGTTATTTCGGTGATCTAACCCTATTTGGATAGGTAAGATTTTTTAAGTACCAAGGTAGATAAAACCAAAATTCAGCAAAATGGACTTATGATATATCGATTGAATAACTTGAGTCGTTTTTGCTTTAACCGAATCGAAATTACTTCTACGATTAATCGAATGACTAATCGATTAAATATAGAGTTATTAAGACTTACTTACTTCTCGTAAGTAAAAAAAGTTTTATTCAATTTCCTCAACAGAACATCTAAAATAAAATTAAAAATTAAAGAAGAATGAGAGAAATTTGATTAAAACAAGCCAGACGCTTACTAAGGTCCAAAAACTGACTTTTAACCAAAATCCTCGAATGGATTTAACAATTTTAAAATAAGAAACTAGCGGAACATGGTATTGATGAAATGGATATGATCGAGAGGCTTATCTATTTAAACAATTAGAGAATTTTTCATTTCATTTAACTCTTATTCGGAAACAGCGTATCACCCTAGAACTACCCTATAAGATAATATCCAGCAAGATCCACGAAAATAACGCCATTCACTAACAACTTATGAAATGAATAATTTTAAACTAGTCTACGCTAAAGACTACCCCCATCACAGCTATATAGGGTTCAGTAAGAACATATGCTCAAGTACACACATTTTAATACCCGCATTATGCACTTGTTCTCGCGTGTGCACTTTCATTTCAATTGCACACTAATTGCCTCATTGACGTTATGACGGACGTGTCGCTATCACTCTAATGCATTGCAAGTGCAACGCCGGTACAAAAGTACAACAAATAAAACGAAAAAGCTCATATGAATTCAAGTGCGAAACCGAACGTCATCCTCGATTGCTTGTCAGCTGATAATTTGTTTTCGTTTCCTTTTCATTCTGTTGCGACGCTGCTAATACCAGTATTGCAATGAAATTCAAAACTAGGTCAGCGCTAAATGATAAAAAAATAAAACGAAAAGGCGGCGATTTCTAAACAACAAACTTTAAGAGTGGCCCATTTATGTATGTACCTATCAGCAATAAATTTCAAGTTGACAATGTGCACCTAATTGGAAATTTGACATATCGTATGATTTTGGAGAACTTTAGTGCCAAACGTAGAGCCTGAGGAGGAGAGAGAGTATTTTTTCTTTCCATCGCATAATCGGTCTGTAAAAGTGATTTAGTTATGATACATATTTTTATAATACCAAGAATATTAATTATTTCTAGTAATTGATGCACTAAAAAAGGTGGAGAACGAATTATTTGAATATAATGTTTTTATTGGTAAAAAAAAAACATTACTTATGAAGTACTCACTCAATAAATTGTTCATATAATATTAAGCAGCCTATCTTCGAGGGGATTCTCTTAATCAAGTTACATAAGTGAGAGAAATTCGGATATTAAAAACAACAGTCCTAAGTAGAATAATATCTTCTTAAGGGGTTAAATCAGCTTAGGATTATCTAAAAATAATTTTTTTTTGTTTACAATAGACCTTGGGGTCCTAGAAATATTGTTTGTAATTGGTAGAATAACTAGTGAAAGAAATGGCAATCCGTTATAGTGTCGCAGCGTTTGGGCCAATCTGCTTCAGCAGGTGAAACTTTAAACACGGTTTTTTCGAAACTATTTCGCGAATAGTTGATGTAAAGTTAAAAATATATGTACTAGAAAGTAATGGATTAGGACCATTTTTTGATTTTCAAGTTTGGCCTTTTTTAACATCTAGTTGGCTTAGCCCTTTAAGACCCAGTCTTGCAATAGCCTCTTGAACTTCCTGGGAGGCTCCTAAAACTTTTCAGCTTCAATAATTAAAATTTCGATTTCCATACATATATATGTACCTACATACATATTTTATATAGATGTGTGCTGGTGCCACAGTTCTTGTATTTAAATCTGCATACTATGGAGACAATTAAAATTTTATAAATTGCTTTATACTTGTAGGTAACATTGAAGTTCTATTTGATATTCAACTGAAGCAAATTAGATATTTGCATATTGATGACGAATTCATCTCGTTAGGTACATATACATATGTGTGTATGTATTAATATATGTATATATACCTTTCGAAAAATGAGATGGGTTCGCGATTAGTCACAAAGGAACATGTAACTAGAAGCACTTTTGATCTTTTTATTTATATGTCACTAACTGACACTAATTTCTTTGAGCATGTCCTATGAAGAGGCTCATTGTCATCAAGGTTACAAAAGGATAATAACGTTTGCATGCTTGTACGGACTAGTCACATTTTGCACACTAATTATGTTAAAGTTAGCTCTAAAGTTTTACAACAACTCACTCTCCTGCTGGGTTTGAAATATCGATATCAAGGTGTTATCTGCCAGTTTGCATGCACACTAAATTGAATTTAATTTAATTAAAAATCACAGTGTTTCAGAGCTTCTGTGCTAGCCTCTTGACTGCCTCTTTCTCCGGTAGTTGACAACAAAAACTTTTTTCATTCATGACGTCACGAACGAACTTATATTACTATCAAATACTTAAAGTATCAAAAACATAAAGGACAAATTGCCGAGGTCTCTATTGCTACCATTTTTGACGTTTAAGAAAATGCATGGCTTCACTCCATTGTGATAAATTTAGCTTTTCCTAAAGAACTGGTATTAATAATTTAGAAAACATGAAAAAATTAAATTATAAACGTGAAGTTTTGAACTAGCCAAACAACCGACGATTGCTCTAACAGAAAACTTCAAAAATCAAATAATTTCTAATAGTACTGGGTGGGGCTAAAATATTCGACCTACAAAGTTTCTTAGATGATGTCAATTTGGAGAGTTAAAGCTAAATGCATCATAATTACTATTATGAGAACATCAGTAATTTTATTTATTACTAAATTTTACATCACTTTCCAATTTACATTACATTTTTCATTGAAACAAGTCTAGAATTTCTACTTGTACATTCTGTATGTTATGTACATATGTATGTAAGTGCATTCAATATGTGCCCAATTAGGGGTTTTTATATTCATTCTCTATTCATGTTCAAATATAAAATCATTCATATTTGATATTTATTATTTTCATGAATATAATGTACTTGGAGTTTCTTGATGATGCAATCAGTTGTACTTGACTGTGCAGCATGTATATATACTTTACAGGGAGAGGCAATCAAAAGTGGATTTTTAAAAATAGAAGGTTGCCATTCCTATGAAAATATTAAGTCAACAAAAATGATAAAATAGCGGGGTTATAATCATATGAGTACAAAGCTAAAGAGTTTTAAGCAGGATTACAGTTGAAAATATTTTTAGTTGGTGTTAGTTGGCATTTTATTCGAGTAAATCGCTAGAACAAATGATACGGTAACAAGAAGGTAAGTGTTGGAAGTAATTTAATTAAAACAATTGAAAACGTTAACTTCGGTTGCACCGAATCTATACCCAATTTTATGGAGAAAACAGTTTTCTATTAAAGACTGGATTTTAAACGATCGGTTTGTGCGGTAGATATATACATGAGTAGTCCTCATCCCAATTTGTCCGATCTGAACTATTTCTTCGGAGATTGTGCCGATACTTTAAACAATAACTCAAACCAAATTTCGTCAATATATCTTGGCAAATAAAAAGTTTTCCATACAAGGACATGATTGTGATCGTTCAAATATATGCCATTGTGATACGATCTGATCAAATTCTTCGGAGATTGTACCACTGCCTTGGACAATAATCTGTGCTAAGTTTCGTGAAGATATCTCCTCAAATAAAAAAGTTTTCCATGCAAGGATATTTTGATTGTTCAGTTTGTATGACGACTATATGCTATAGGGATCGGATATCCCAGAGTCCAACATATGAGCAGCTACTTGTGGAGAAAAGCTCGTGTATAAAATTTCAGAAAGATACTCCAAAACTAAGAGACTTAAATTTTGGTGTCAAGTAACAAGTATTCAGGAAAATTTTTAATGAAAAAGATAAATTTTTTATAAAACCTCCCATATATCAAATGTGAAAGTTTCAGAAATTGGTAATTAATCATAATATATTTGACAGTTATTTGTTTTAAACCCAAAAAGTAGGACTGGCAAAACTATACTATAATCAAAAAAAATTATTAGCGAGGATACGAGTTACCAGCTAATGAAACACAAAATTAAAGTCGAGTCATCTTTTTCGGCAAATTTGCCAGTAAATTTTATCTGTTCTCAAAACTCAAATATCTGATCCAGGAATCCAACCACAGGTCTATAATTTGTATTGAGAATAAATTTGTTATATAATACAATACATTCCGATTAAAATTTCATGTTGCCTTTCAATTCGTACATAGTCATTGTAACTCTTCAATGTAACAATCTCTGTGAAAACCCTTAGAATATTATACTTACGATTACGAGTGTAACCTAGAAGAGCAGTGAACCGCATCGTGATTAACAGCACCAACAACAACTTATATGCAATCTATGCGAGTATCTGATATGCAGAAAGGTATGAATTACACCCACTTCACAGCGCAGAGCAATACAGCAATTGTTGGCACACGAAAGATGCCGTTACATAAATTTTATATGCATAAGCACTACGAGTACACATGCTTATCTACAATAAATATGCAGGTGTATTGGCTTATGTACGACTCCAAATGGAGCATTCAGTTATGATTGTAGGCACAATGGCTAATCAAAATAGGAAAAACAATGGAGAATGTCCCACACTTTTTATTACCGCACTTAGAAGAAGTAGCCGTGTGAAAGGAAGGCAGCTAACAAGTGTACCATGCATTCATACATACAGACATGCATCTGTAACT